TGTCTGAGGCTAAATTTGAACTCAGGTCCTGCTGACTCCATCGTTGGTGCCACCTAGCTGCCCTGCTAAGCACTAGGGATACAAAGAAAAGCAAAAGACAGTCTCAGCTCTCAAGGAGATCACTAATGGGGGAGACAGCCTGCTATGTACAAATGAGATTTAGACAAGATAAACTGGAAATAATCAATAGAGAAAAAGCAGTAGAATGAAGGGGGGGGTAACGCCTTGGAAGATAAGCGCTAGTATTATCACTGCTTTACAGATGAGGAAACTGGGACAAAAAGAGGCTGATTGATTTGCCCAAGATGATACAGCTAGTAAATGTCTGAAGCAGGATTTGAACTCAGCTCTCCCTGTCTCGAGGAAAATGCAGTATCCATCTAACAACATTACATATGCACAGCTCTCTAGCTGTCATTCCCAAAGAGCAATAGCTTTGCTGTGTATCAGGCTTCCATGACACATCTCCTTTCCTTGGGGCTGTGTTCTATGGGACTGAGCAGAAGCCAGAATGCAAAGGATTTAGAATAGAATGAAAGGAGGGGAAGAACACTGAGTGCTGGGGGCTTTTTCATGGAGTTTAGCAAGTAAGAGAAGAATATTAATATGAGCACTAGCTAGCAGGAATAGGAAGATTGAGTAAGAGGGCTTTTGTTGTTGTTTTTAACAATGGAGGAAACAGGTATATTTGTAGGAAAAAGGAAAAGTGCAAGTCAATAGAGATTGAAGAAAGGGGTGGGGAGAGAGAAAAAAAGAGAGGAGAGAGAAAAGAGAGAGACAGAGAGAAGACAGAAAAGAAAAAGAGACAGAGAGAGAGAATGATAGTAAACTCAATCTGCCCTAGGAAACAGAGGAGATGGAATCATGAGTGCAAGAACTAAACCTGCCACTTACTTATCTGCCAGTTCTGAAACCCCAGACAGAGAGCCACAAGGTTCATGGGACTCTCAGGAACTGGGAGAGGTTAAGCTCTTAGTCACCAAATGAGGCCATTTAATTGTGGGAAAAAATTATATTCTCTACATTTTAGGCAAAGTCTGCCTAAGATAGTTTCTTACTATACTACAAGCATTCTCACTTGGAGAGAGCTCCAGCTCTTCAAAGGTTTTTCCTATTCATTGGAATTCTCTCTGACCTATGAAGTATGTCCACTTACATCTTACTTATAAGATAAAATATAACGATAAAAGATAAAATTCCACAGCAAAGGAAAACAGAAGTACATAGGTTAGATTTGGGTTTGTTGTTTGTTTTTTTTTTTAATTTGTTTGCAATGAACAATAGTAATATTGAAAAAATACTTCCCGGAAACCAATGACTTCCTCTTTAACCACTCCCTCTAGGATTTCCCCCTTTCTTTTGCTCAAAGGTATACAGGAAGATTAAGTTACTTAATTGGATTTTCTTTTAAAAGGCATTCCTGCTCCTAGCTGAATCACCAAAGGCTAAGTCTCTTAGCTTCAGGAAATTAAGATCCTTCCCTTAAGCTGATTAAATCTTCTCTGGGAAAAAGGAAAAGAACCTATATGTTCTAAAATATTTATAGCAGCTCTCTTTGTGGTGGCAAAGAACTGGAAATTGAGGGGATGCCCATCAGCTGGGGAATAGCTGAACAAGCTGTGGTATGTGAAGGTAATGGAATACTATTGTGCTATAAGAAATGATGAGTGGGTTGGTTTTAGAAAAACAGAGAAAGATGCAGAGTGAAATGAGCAGAACCAAGAGAACACTGTATACAGTAACAGCAATTCTGTTCAGAGTAACTGTGAATGACTAAGCTGTTCTGAGTAATATGAATATTCAAATCAAACACAAATGACTTATGAAGGAAAATGCTGCCTGTCCTTCAGAGAAAGAAATTATGTATGCAAGTATATATTGTATGGTTCCATATATATCTATATCAAATGTTGGCCTTCTGTATGGTGTTGGGAAGGGAGAATTCTTCTATTCAAGGAAGGAATACCATTAAGGTTTTTTAACCAAGTGGCACCAGGGACATCAGACTAGGACACAATGATAATATTTTTTTCTTACCTACATGTTTCCACCATCACTTTCAAGGTCACACAATCCATCTTCCTACCCAATGCAGTTATACCTTCTACAACATTTATTTCAGTTCAACAAACATTTTTTAATGTTGACTGAAAGAGAACAAAAACAGAAAAGCAGCCGGATTGGACCAACTAAATATAGAAATCTGTACTTGAGAGTGATATCATTTGGAGGGCATATTGAAAGATCAGTTCAAAGGAGGAGATAATGGAAAAATCTTGCATCTCATTCATAACTAAAAAGGGTGACTGAGAAGATAGCTCCATGCCTACTTTCCCATCTGTATAAAACTTCAAATAAAAATCAAGGGCATCTGTGGTAGGGGTAGGGAATAAGCAGATCTTTGTGAGTGTTCCCCAATGGACCACATATTTACTATTTCACAGCTGGCAGAAAAAATGTAGAAGATATAAGATCCAGCTGGGCTTTGTCGATTATGCAAAAAGCATTTGACTAGATTGAGCGACTCGGGCACCTTGCAGTCTTCTTCACACCAAGTATCTCCCATCTACACATCAAAAATAGCTCAAGAAAGCCATGACAACAGAAATAATCCTGTTTGATGCCCTTCTGACAATAAACATCAGGCAACAAGGCACAAAACAGAGGGATGTCTTCTTGCCACAGGTATTCACAATTGTGACAGAGGAGATCCAGCACAGATTTCAAGTTGAAGAGAAAGCTTCCCCGGGATGTTGAGGTCCACAAGACACTCCTATTTTCAGACGATCTTGTGCTAGTTGCATCCAGCTCTGGAAAGCAGCAGAGCTTCCCAGAGACAGAAAGAGAAAGCTACACTTAGTGCCAGGCACTGAGTAGGTGCTTCATAAAGATTGGCCAATTAATATTTTGATAACAAATAGGATACCAAATTTAACCAAAACCTTTATCAACCATCTCCTTTGAAAGTTATACTCAGACAAATAAGATAAGCACAAAATGGTGAACCTTCATAGGCCATTCCAGTGATTTGTGGTTTTATTTTCTTAGCCATATTAATGGACTATGCCGGTCCAATCAGTTGATTTAGTTTTTCAGAAGTAATTGAAATGACTAGGCCACAGTATTACTCTGCCTAGTAGCATGAATTTCAAATTTCTAGTTCCTAAGCCAAACCTTGCAAAAGGCCCATGAAGAAAACTCCCTGTACCTTAAGACTCTCTCCTCTAATTTCTGTAGGTCTCCAATTACTACAAGTGCTACTTCTATTAATGTTACACTTGAGACAATATTTTTAAAAAATCTGCTCACGTGGCTAATTTTGTCATACAAGATAGACATGGCCAGCCCTTGACTCTTCTTTACAACCAAGAAATTAAGAAACACCCTGGGCTTTTATTAATATTCTATGCTAATAAAATATTCATCCTCAAGAGTTTGCCTTCCTTTGTGAATACGCAGCCAACTCTAAAATTTCATTTTCTTTTTCTAGAAGATAATACTTGAGGGTGTCTTTCTTTAAACCGTGGGAAGAACCTTTTGCCATTTCTCCAACATACACAGGGTTGTTTTTTTAATTTAAATTTTTAACTTTATCTCAAAGACTAGATTCTTATTTTCTTCCTTACATAAGGGAATTGATCAGTGACCAACCCCACCTTCACTCCCTATCCCCACCCCCAGGCTAAGCCTAGAAAGCCCAGGATATAATCACAAGGTGTTTATAGCTATAAATATTCCTCTGTGCCCAGGTCCCTTTGGGGTATGTGAAGACATCTTTCTCAAATGGAAGTCATCAATGGAAGAGAGTCTTTATATACCTAAGCCCTGGGAACAGAGTTCAGTTCCGAAGGAGTCAGGGCTCAGGAGCAAGCAGGTTGGGGGTGGGGGGAATGGCAGGAAAAGAAGCAATTTCTTTCTCTTCCTTCTGTCCCATTGGTCATGGTGTCCAGAAGTTGCCCAGAGACTGATACCCTGTCTAGCAGTTACAGACTCGGTCTGAAAGTATTTTATGACCAGCAGAAGGAACAAAGACCCCCACTCCAGATAGGCATGGATTCTGAGGGAGAAAACATGACCCACAGCATTAGAGAAAACAGCCAGCTCTGGATTGGAGAGCTAGCCTCACCAACTGAAAGCTGGGCCACAGAGAGGACTACAGAGAGGATTTCTGGAGTTGTGAATGACCTCAGCATGTGTTTCCCATGTGTATCCTAAGCTGTGTTCACCCTCTCCATTCCCCCACCCTGACTGATTCATTTTTGAAGGCAAACTAGACCATCTTTTGCTTCCATTCTTACTTAGCCCTTAACTATTGAATGTGTGTTGCCTTGGACAAACTGAGATCTTTTAAAGATACCAGTTTTAGAAAAGGTCTAAAGCTCTCCCACTGCATCTGGGCCCATCGCCAGTCATCCTGACCTGTCTTCTCACTGCACTCCAACAACTCTGGAGGAAAGAGTGAGGTTAATGACTCTGCACAGCCCTGCCTCACTTAAATCCAATTCACTTGCAAGTCAAGACACCCAGAATAAAGGAAAACCAACAGCAACACGTGTGTTTGTGGACAAACACACACCCAGTGTCTGGGAAGGAATATTTCATAGTTACTTTGTTTTACTATATGTCATTTTATTAAATATCTTAGCTAGGAGCTAATTGTATCTACTGGCTGATTGTTACTGGGAAACATAGTAGCAGAGGATAACCACAGTGTTAATCCTAGAACCCAAAGGAGCAGCCACCTCTGGGGACCCAACCCACAGGTTTGAAAGCAAGTTGAAGGAGTAGCCAGGAGGGTGTATTACTCTTGAATGTGTTTTCTCATAATCTCTTTTCTCTCTCTCTTCTCTCACATTTTCCTTAATAATTTTCCTCCCTCTCAGGGTGGGGATGGAGGGGTAGCACCAGAAGACTTTGTAATCACGAAAGAACTATATTTCTTTTCTTTTCTTTTTTTGCAAATGAGCCTCCACATGCTATATTGTTTATTCTTCTCCAAGCTCACCAACGATGAAGAAATCCATAATGTAGGCACCTCCCTAACTTTCGGATTTGGCACACTGGTTTGTTGGATTCAGGCTGCTCTGACACTCAAAGTCAACATCAAGAATGAAGGTCGGAAGATTGGAATTCCCAGAGTGATTCTAGCAGCATCTATAACTCTCTGTGTGGTCCTCTGTATCCTTTGAATAGAAAAATAGGTTTTGTTTTTGTTTTTCCTTTAGGGAGGTTAGAATACAAGCAAACATAGTTATCTATCTAGATACTAGGACATTCCCTTCACAGCAGTCTACTCCACCAAATTGTCAACAAAGAAGAGGTGTGCTTTGTTTCTGTTTTTTATCATCAGCTTTATCAAGCTCCAAAGGAGATCATGAGTTAGAATATAATCTGTGACTTTCCAGAACTGTTTTAGAGTTTATTTATGAGAACTGAGCAATTCCTTCTCCTCAAAACAAAGATAGTAGATTTCTCCCCTTTTGGAACAAAAAAAAATTAAAAAAAGAAAAAAAACATTCTGAACTACAAAAGTATTGCAATTGTTTTTCTCTTTAAAAAAACCCTCCATTAATTTACTAGTGAATGATTCAATTGTTTCATTCAATAAATTATCCACTAAGAGGTTCAAAAGCAAGCAAATTTATGTTTCAGAAAAAAGTAATTAAGTCATTTTAAGAAGTGAACTCAAGAAGCATATGGTACATTGAGCCATCCTAGATAAAATGAACAATTAATATCGTACAGTATGTGTGGTAGCAATTTGTTTAGCAAAGACAACAAAATCAGCTCTTTGTTATTCAGAGACTGATTTTTTCCAGTTTGTGAATTTTCACTTCTCTTTTCTCTGACCACCTGCCCTTTGCCCATCTCACTAATTAATCATCAGCATCCTTTCCTAGTCAAATGGGCCAGAGGACATTAAAGAAGCTGAAACTTAAATCAGCCATATTCACTCCTCATTTGCATCTTGATTAAAAAAATTAAGTTGATGGTTTAGAGGTTAAAGCTCTTTGTTCAAAAGTTGCTACTTTGTTGCAAAAGCTAAATAGGAGAGGGAGAGAGGATAGGAATATTCTGGCTTGGGAGAGCTGATTGTTAAATTTTCAGTGTGAACATTTCCCCCTCAGAAATCAGTAAACATCTCAAATGATTTTTGTCTTGATGATTGTCTAGACTTAAGAAAATGATGGAAAAAATGTTCATAATGAAAATTAAGCTTAAACATGTGTTGTGTTTTTCTGAGGGCTAGCTGTCAAACATTTACCAGGACACCCTTGGAGAAAGGGCCATTCCTAATTATCTGCAGATTTTCATGGTCTAAGCTCTCTGGTGCCAAATTAGCATAAAGGTCTTAGCAATGTTTACAACATCTGGACACTTCATCAGTAGAGCAATGGGTAGGCTCCAGATGGTGTAGAGTGTTGAGACCATTATTCTAAATTCCATCTGAGTCCTAAGAAGCTGTTTATTAGTTCTCCATTAACAGCAAGAATCCTCTCATTAATCCAAGTTGAATAGACCCAGATATGCCAACTCAGATTTGACCCACGTGGTTCTGCCTCTTCTTTTGCCATTAGGAATGCCACAGAGAATTGTTTTTCCCCTTTCGGTGCCCAGAACTAAGAGAAGGAAGTACAGAGCCAGTGGTTTCTATCCTGTTAAATGTTGATATTAGGTGTAATCTTGCAAAAGAACACAGTTCCAAGGGCTTGCCTTGATTTAAAAAAAAAATTATCCCTCCTTGTTTCTTTTGTGGAGGACTGCTGTGAACACACAAATGAATACCAATGACGTTTGGGACCTTTAGTAAACCAATTAATTCATAATCTAATGGGTAGTACTGACTACTACTAAGGTCAAAGTACAACTTCCCTTTCTGTTAGATCTTTCTCCCTAAAAATTCCCACCCCCAACAAATATTGTGGAAAGTAACAGATAAGAAGGGTCTCAACTCTTTTTTTTTCATAGTTCATTGCAAAGATGGATGAAAGTGGCCCTTGAAGAATAAAGGTGTATTCTCTGCTTCTGAATAGGAGAGGGAGAAGGGCGGTTCCTAACTTGGAGTGTGACCGCTGACAGCATTTCCAGGTTTGGTTTGAGACTCGTTACACCCAAAATAGTTTCAGAAATGTCTCTTTTTCTCCCCCCAGACCTTTAAGTCACTTCACTGCTGTCTCAGTTTCTTGTTTAATTGTTTTTCAGTCATGTCTGACTCTCCATGACCCCATTTGGGGTTTTCTTGGCAAAGATATTGGAATGGTTTGTCATTTCCTTCTCCATCTCATTTTACAGGTGAGGAAACTGAGGCAAACAGGGTTAAATGACTTGCCCAGGGTCACACAGCTAGTTAAGTGTCTGAGGCCAGATTTGAACTCAGGAAGAGGAGTCTTCTTTACTTCAGGACTAGCGTTCTATCTACCGTGCCACCTAGCTGCCCCTGCCTCACTTTCCTCAACTATAAAATGGAAATAAAAATTAGCACCAGAGTTGTTGTGAGGATCAAATGAGATATTTGTAAAGCACTTAGCTTTACCTAGCACATAGTAGGTGTTTAATAGATGCCTATTCCATAATCCTTCCCTTTCCCTGTCTGTGAAAGGCTTAGCCCTCTTATTGATCTCATGGAGTACTTTGGGTATTTTTCAGGGCAGTCTATCAGATTGTAATGATAGTGGCATTATCTTGGAAAGGGAGGTTGTGACATGGCCTGCTTTAAAGTGTCCACTGACAATTCCCAGTGTGTTTTTCTTGACTTTCCCCTTCCCCCAGATTTTATTCTCATGGCCCAAGAAATCCACATGCACGCGGCCCGGATTCAGTGGGGCCTCGTGATGTGCTTTCTCTGTTACTTTGGTACCTTCGCCGTGGAATTCCGGCATTACCGTTACGAGATTGTCTGCTCCGAGTACCAGGAGAATTTCCTGAGTTTCTCTGAAAGCCTATCAGAAGCATCTGAGTATCAAACTGACCAGGTGTAATTTGACTTACTTTGACCTCGTTGGTGACAGTGGGGGACAGGGTTAACGACTGACATGGGCAAAGAATGTCACGTTTGACTTCATGACACTTACCCAACACACACACACCCATACACACACACACACACACACACACACACACACACAACACACACCCATCTGTTCACAGTCACTATCACTAAAGGGTCCTCTTTTCAGGGTGGATTTTTTCTTTAAAGGGGAAAATAAAAGCACAAGCCCCTATATGAAGACATGGATGGAAGCTCTTGCATCTTTAATACACATAACAGACCAAGAAGTTTGTGCAAGACCATGTATCTTTCCCCCCTTGCCTGTCCCCTTTTCCCAGCCCTCCCCACTACTCTCTCCTCCTCACCTATCATGACTTCACCATTCACACCCTTTACTGTTAAGAAGGGTCACTCAAAAGGGGAATGGCAAAGCCTCCAACTCCCTAAGTCTTGCTTCAGATCTAAGGAGGATTGGAACAAGCCACTCAAAATCTTCAGTTCAGACCCAGATGATCTTCATAATGGATGACCAAGTAACACTTGTCTGGATGGAAATGATCCAAAGAAGAGTGCCCAGGCATAGTGGGGTTGAGGGAGGTGGGGAGGGAATTCCCCAAGTACTGAGCCCGTATCTCATCCAGCACTCATTTCATTGTGACAAAGAGGGGGCCTTGTGTGTTCCAACGGAAAATTGTGTTACATAATTTTAGTGAGAAAATCTACTAGGATGGATTACAGAACCACCACTCATATGAAATGAGATGAAGATGTGGTTTCGTTTTTAAATGTGCTTCCTATAGTCTGTCCTGGATGATAGCTTTGGTTTGCTTCTCTGCGTCCCTAAAATTGCCTCTTTGTATTACTCTGGATCTCATGGACAGAAAAGGATCTTAATATACAGATGTCTGCCTTGTACTGGATCCAACCATAATGAGGTCAGATTATCATCCCCTGAAGGCTTAATTTATTGGGTGGGGTTTTTTTTTTCCATTAGAGGAAGCTAAGATGACATATAGGAAAAGATGAGAGAGAAGGACCCAAAAGAGTTGGAGGTTGTCTCAGACAAGCAAAGGCAAACATTAGGTTATCTTAGTGCAAGACTGAAAGCCAGTGAGTTCCACTCTTTGGAAGAGGCCCACAAAATGCTGAGACTGTTTCTTAGTATTCTTGGTGCCCCAGCATACCATGGACTCATGGTTCCTGGAGTGACCAGGGATGGAGGCAGCCACAACTCCAACATATCCCCCATCTATGCTTGTGCTTTGTCCTGGAGAACCCCCAGTCAGCCCCTAGGAGCTGTGGGATTTCACAGAATTACACTTTCAAAAACCATTATTTTGGATCCAGTGAAGGAAACGTCAGCAAAAATCATTAAAAAAGAAAACAAAAACCAATGAATGAGACTTTTTAAGTATGGTGGAATGACTGTCACCCATATGAGGTGCAGGAATAAAGGTAATTGTGAATGGGGTAAAAAAAATTAATCTAGAGCAAAGTGAACTTGGCTAGAAGTCAGCAAGCATAAACAGGGAAAAGTTCAAGCAAAGAATAATCTTTTTATTAAAAGGGCATCTATTTGTAAATAGTCCAAGCCAAGGTAACACTTATTCTTTTTAAAAAGAAAAAAAAAACCTGTTTTTGTTTTTATCATTTTTATATTGTGAAAATTTTATCAAAGAAAAACATGAAGGTTTGTGATGATTTCTTTTACTTTCCACAAGTAAAAATCAAGCTGCTGACTTTGGATGGTGGGATGTTGTTCTATACTTGTGGGAGTCTGTCTAATGGTGCCCTCTGGCAAAGCTAAGCAATTACCAATATCACACACAGGGTCAGGACCACTAAATAAAGTGCTTTTATGACGAAATATGCATTGTTTTTCCCTTCCTCGTGACTCACACCTCCTTTGGAAAGGGAGTGAGATTTGGATGGATGCTCCCTAACAAAACAAACTTCAGCGATGCAAAACTAATGCAAAGACCAGGCTTGCCCCAGATTAAGGGAGGTGGACAACCTTGGTCCAGAAGATGGAGTCCGCCAGGTATGAGTGAAAGGCCACAGCACTGAAGACCCTTGAAGGTGAAGGGAGTTGGGCACTGCTTTGGTTAGGAAAGAAACGACTATTAAGAAACTATGAAAATATAACGGGATCTGGGGCAGCTAAGGGGTGCAGTGGATAGAAGGCAGAACTTGGGAGTCAGAAAGACCCGAGTTCAAACTTGGCCTCACAGATCTAGCTGTGTGACCCAGTCTGTCTGCCTCAGTTTCCCTGTCAGAGGGGCCTGAAGGCAACAGCCTTCTGATCTCTGATCACTCAGGGGGTTGGGAAACCTGCCACAATTTTGAACATAGAAATTCTAGGGGAGATGGAAAGCCTGATCATCCCCTCTAAGAGTGTGGGAGAAACAGGAGCCCTGTCATGGTCTCAATTCAGAAACTAAGATTGGAGATATGAAAAACAGATAACAAATACCATAGGTGACTTGGGTCAACCAAAAGGCAAAGCCTTTTTCATAACTCACCACAGACATTTACTAGCTGTGTGACCCTGGGCAAGTCACTTAACCTCGACTGCCTCCAAAAAAAAAAAAGGAAAAAAAGGTAAAGCCTTTTAAGAAGAGTTATTTCAAAAGAAATAAAAGCAAAGCCTCAGGGGGAAAAATATATGACTTGATCACTCCAAGAGTAGATAAACAAAGCAAGAGATTTTTTAAAAAATGAAATTATAAATGAAATAAAAGCACACAAAAAGAACAAAAGATGGAAAACTTTACCCAAGTAGCAGACTGTATTAAAATTGAAATAGAGAAATCAGAATTCAGTGACTCCAGAAGAAAACAAGACATGGCAGAATGAATAATAATAATAACATCTATTTAATACTTATTATGTGCCAGGCACATTTAAGGCCATTTAAGAAAATTATACTTTTATAGAAATTGGAGAAGCCTCCAGTAGGTAGAGAAAGCAGCATTTAGTGACTGCCTACTATATGCTGTACCATGATTATTACCTTATTTGATCCTCAAAACAACCCTTCGAGGTAAGTGCTACTATGATCCCCATTTTACAGATGAGGAAACTGAGGCAGGTTAAGTGATTTGTCCAGGGTCACACAGATAGTATGTGTCTGGGGACATATTTAAACTCAGGAAGAAAATGTAAGGTGTCTACTATCAGAAACAACTGGCCTGTAAGAAGAGGGCAAGGAGAGAGCTTCAAAATTATAAACTACGGGGAAACCATGACTCCACAAAAAAGAGCTGGATCTTATACTTCAAGAAATCGTAAGTGGAAAATTGTCCAGAACTATTAGAACCAGACTGAGAGAATCCACCAGTTGCCTCCTGAAACTAGACACTGAAAAATCTCAGGAATGTAAAAGATTACAGGGCTCAGAGTCAGGAAAAAAACCATGTTCAAATCCAGCCTCAGACACTAGCTCTGTCATGCCGGGCAAGTTGATCCACCTCTGTCTGCCTCAGTTTCCTCAACTGTAAAATGAAAATAATAGCACCTACCTCACAGGCTGTTTTGAGGATCAAATGAGATAATATTTGTAAAACGCTCAACACAATGCCTGGCCTGACATACAGTAGGTGCTTACTAAATGCGCCTTCCCTTTTCTACCTACTGGAGGCTTCTCTAATTTCTACAATAAAAGTCTGATTTTCTTAAACCTTGGGCCTTAGAAGAGTTACATGAATGGCAAGCTGTATGAAAATATGCACATGATTGAAGTGCTGGTGTGGAAAAATCTCTCCACTAAAGCAGATCAGCAGCTCATCTGTAAGTTAGTCTTAGAGGGCTGTCTGGGGCACTGGAAGATTAGTTAGCTCTGCCAGGGTTACACAGATAGTATCAGAGGTGAGATTTGAATCCCGTTTTCTCCTGAATCCAAGCCTAGGGAGGGTTCTTTTCAATACTCTATAAAGGCAAGAAGTGAATAACACAACAAAACTACGGCAATAATGACGTTGTTGTTTGTCCTTCATTTTCTAGTATTTTTATTTTCTGCTTTTTGGTGTGGCTATAGGGGTTAAGTGACTTGCCCAGGGTCACACAGCTAGTAAGTGTCAAGTGTCTGAGGCCAGATTTGAACTCAGGTCCTCCTGACTCCAAGGACAGAGCCCTGTCCACTGCACCACCTAGCTGCCCCTTGTCCTTCATTTCCAAAGAGGACCAATGATATCACGATGTTGGGGTTAGGGTACAGCGCTTTTGGCTGTGGCTGATCAGGCCAATAGGAGCTTGGAAGGCTCTCCTGCAGATCCGGCACAAGTAGTCCCTTAGGACATTTGGGATGGAGGTGTCTCTGGATGTGCACAGCTCACGCTTCCTTTGTGCAGTGACTCTGCTCTGAGAGCACACATCACCTTCTTTGACGCAGGTACGCCGTGCTGCGTGTCTCCCATATCTCCCAACTGATAATTAAGTTCAGAGAGTCCTTGAGAGTGACCTTGTCTTCTGACCACTCTGTGAGCCCCTGCCTTGTGTGAGTTCTCCATAAAAGCCTTTTAGGGAAACATACATTTGGCATTCGGGCTATGTGGCCAGCCCAGCAGGGTTACATTCTCTGCAGCAGAGCTTGAATGCCAGACAATTCAGCTCGAGAGAGGCCCTCGATGTCCAACACCTTATCTTGCCAGGTGATCTTCAGAATCTCCCTAAGACAAATCAGAGAGAAGTGATTCGTTCTCCTAGTGGTAGACTGTCCAGGCTTCACAGGCATACAACAGTGAAGTCAGCACCATGGCTCTGTAGACCTTCAGTTTGGTAGTCTGTCCAATACCTCTTCTCTCCCATACTTTCCTTTGGAGCCTCCCAAACACTCCAACGATGCATTCATCAACCTCATCATCTATGTGGACATCCCTGGAAAGTATACTGCCAAGTAAGTGAACTTATCCACAGCATTCAAAATTTCTCCTTTTACTGTGACCCATGGTTCCATGTATGGCTGGTGGAGGACCTCTGTTTTCTTGGTGTTGATTGTCAGGCCAAAATTAGCACCAGCGACAAAGAATGGAGCCATACTCCTGCATCTCAGCCTCCGACGCTGCATTAATCTGCAAACAAAAGGTCGCACACCAACTATCTCTCCACTTTGGCCTGGGCTTGTAACCTTTTCAAGTTAAATAGTTTACCATTAGTGTGGTAGCTGACCTTGATGCCATTTTCGTCCTTGTTGAAGATGTCTGACAACATTGTAGAAAAACAGCTAAAAAGTATGGTAGCAAGCACATAACCCTGCTTCACTTCATTGATGACTAGGAAAGTGTAAGAGCATCATCCTCTGTCAGAACAGTGTGAGCACGCCATCACGAAACTGGCACACAATTATGCAATCCTCATGAACTTCTCCAAGCAGCCAAATTTTGCCATGATCTTCCACAAGTCCTTATGCCTTACAGCATCAAAGACCTTGGTCAGATCGATGAACGTTGTATGCAGGCCTCTGCTCTGCTCTGCTCCTCGTATTTCTCCTGGAGATGTCAAGCAGCAAACACCATGCTGATTGTTCACTAGCCCTTTCTGAAGCCACAATGGCTCTCAGATGACCATCTCCCAGGTGAAGAATCAGCCTATTAAGGAAGGCTCTGGCAAGAATATGGGCAGCAAAGACTAAGACAGAAACCCCCCCTGTGATTGTCACAGGATATCCTGTTTCCTTTTCCTTTATAGAGATGGACAATGGAGACATCCTCGCTCTGAGGAAAACTTCCTCTTGCCACATGATGTGGAAAATTTTCACTCAGCTCCTGTATGAGAAGTGGCCCTGCCTTGTAGATCTCTGCTGGGATGGAACCAATGCCAGGCTTTGCCACTCAACAGGAGCCTCCTGGCACTCAAAACCTCTTCTTCAGTTGGTTTGGTTGGAAAAGGTTGACTGCAAGCTAAGGCATACAGTCAATGGCTTCAGCATTGGTTGACGATGTTGATGTTATGAAAGCATCCGCGCATCTCTCCAGCATCATGTCCTTGTCACTGATCAGTGTGGCTCTATCAGCACCGGCCCATAAACAGTCTTCAGGGCATCGTAGAAGTGCTTTGGATTGCTGTCAGTATAAAATTTAACCTCATCTTCCTTCTTACTGAGCCAAGAATCTTGCATCTCTCCAAACTTCATTTACACCTTACTTCTGATGGCATCAAACACCGCCTTCTTGACAACAGATAATATTGTGGAGTTCTCATTTCTTGTTTAGAAGCTTCTGAATTTCCCCATCACTTTTTGTCAAACCAAGCCTGATGTTTAAGAGTGTTCTGGCCCCGATGAGCAAATGTAGTGCTGTACACCAAGTCTCTGAAAGCTGCCCACTCCTTTTCTGCCCCATTCTTGTGTGTGTTGACTCAGCTTTCCCTCCAGGTCAGCAATGAACTGTTCCAGTACTGAGAAACACTCTAATCTGTTGACACTGAGCCTACTGAGAGTCTTGCCTGGGGGCCACTGCTTTTGCTGAAAAAGAGAGTAACACATAAGACCACAGCAATAGTGAAGTATGGCATATCAGAGGGTGTGCTAAGACTAAATTCTTGAATGCTGGCTTTGCTACTCAGTATTTGTGTAATCTTAAGCAAGTTACCTTGCTGGGCATCCATTGCTTCTCTACAAAACGAGGTTGGACTAAGAATCACTTCACTGCTGTCTTATTCTTCCCTGTGTGGCCCCTCCACTCACTTGGTGGTACCCTGGAGGAAAGCCCAGTGACCTTGACTCTGGGGTGAGAATGTAGAATTGAGACAAGACACTGAATACCCGTATGAGGGGAAAAAGAACTTCAGATGGTTGTAGGACTTTGAGAGAAGCCAGTAGAAAAAAGCGAGGCATCAACTTCTGATGGCTATTGAGAGCTCTCAGAGTCAAAAACTTGTAGGGGAATCCAGCAACCTCCCCACCACACACACACACACACACACCCCTTACATTTTTAAAATAACAGAGTTGGAATAGCCAATCTCTATAAACAATTCCATCTCATGGTTTTCTCCAAAATATGCATAATCATGAAAGAGAATCATTCATAAGTTAATAAATGTTGTCAGGCTATTAACAGATTCTCTAGCACAGCATGTTATATCTCATTGTTATCAAGTCTCACTCATCTCCTTAGGAGAAGAAGGAGAGCTCAGGTAGAAGTCCGTCTGCCTTCTTTCATTTTGGTTTCCGCCAACAAATTAAAATGGTGGGCATCCAGCACTCTTATTCTGTGTTCAAATTAATTTATAATAATAACTAGCATTTACATAGTTTTCTAAGGTTTGTCGCTTTGTAAACATTTTCATTTGATCCTCACAACCCTGGGTGAGGTAGGTGTTATACAGCCATTGCACAACTGGGGAAACAGAGACAGAGATTTAGTGACTTGCCCAGGGTCACACAGCTTAATGTAAGTGTCTGATGGGAGACTAGAGAACTCCAACTTCCTGACCCCGAGCTCAGAATTCTATCCATGGTCTAACCATCCATTAGCTGCCTTAGTTTCCTTTCATTACTGATATTCATTATTTCTCTTCAGTATATTTCCTACCCTTTGAGAAGGAACCAAAAATACCCTTTTCAAGTAAAAAATTTGAAACTTTGACATGTCTTCAAAACAGGAGCACTTTGCTTATCTAATAATAACCTTAAGAAATTCTATTTCAATAACTAATTGGACACATGCAAAGGACTCCTAATACATAATGGCATTAGAAAAAAAAATATTCAGTGATGTTTCAATAATAGCCAGGTGGTGCAATGGGTAGCATGTGAAACTTTAAGTGTGAGGAAGACTTCCATTCAATCTCCAGTCTTTTCTCAACACTTACTAGCTGTGTGATCTTAGACAAGTCACTTAACCCCTGTTTGCCTCAGTTTCCTCATCTGTAAAGTGAAGATAAAAACAGCACCTAAGTCCCAGGGTAGTTGTGAAGACTAAATGAGATAATATTTGTAAAACAGCATGTAAATGCTATTATTATAATAATTTTGATGGATTTTCAAGTCAACAAACATTTACTACCTGCAAGACATTATGCTGGGTGCTGGGGATATAGGATAGGGTAAAGAGAAAACCACCCCTGCTTTCAAAGAGCTTACATTCCAGAGAAATGTATAATCTCTGTCCCAACCTCTACCACCCTTCAGTGATGCATTACCATGTGTGCATCTGAAAAGCAATCAATATGGGACCGAGAATCTCTTCTACCTTGAGTAGATGTGAAGAATCTGTATTTTAGGGCTTATAAAATCCAAATTTCTCACATTGGCCACAATATTAATATTTGTGAAGGATTCATTAACACAACAGGTATCAGTACTGAAACAATCAACTATGCAAAAGTTATCATTTCCCAAAAGAGGAACTTGTCTGTCTTGTATAACAAAGTGCATACACATCTACACCCACACACGTATTATACTCTTGGTGCAGTTTGAAGCTTTTAACATCAGAAAACGACACCAAGACTTTTGGGACACCATATATAATATATGGATGCCTATAAACACATACAAATGTGAAGACAGATAGGTAGTTGCTGAAAACTCAATAACTAGATACTTAGCCCAACTTCTGCCCCACTAAGTTAGGTTCCCAGAGGCTGGCTACATCTCTCTCTCAGGGTTTTAGGGATACCCCTGAGGATCTGTGGGTATCTTGTCAGTCTGAGGTCCCATTTGGTGTGTCCTCTCCAATATCACCAAGTAACTTCTTTAATATCATCTACCCAGCATCGCTTAATCTTAGTATCCTCTATACTTTTGATTAGCACCCCAATATCACTTAACCAATTAACATCAATTAGTTTTTACCAAAGAATATTTGCAGAGAAGATAGAGCAAACCCAAAAGTTACAAAGCATTTACCTCTTCACCAAGAGGCATACTCTCTTCTCTGCACCACCTTGGTCCCAGGGTGAGAAGTCTGTGACCAAAACATAAAAACCTTGGTTCTTCTATGTACATTTGCTATATCTTAACACCTAACAGAGACCACATCTGCAGATTTACACTCTGGTCTAAAATCCCATTTCAGTTCCACGACTGCTCAATCTTGGTGTTTGTTTCTTCAGGAATCCATCCAGAATTTTGCCAGCTGTACAGAGCCAAGATGGCACTACAGTTGTTGGCTGACCATTTTACCTTTCTTCATGAAGAAGCTGGTAACATTGATAACTGATTTGTGAACCAAAAAGCAGTCTGCAATTTGCTAAAATGCTCACAGAATGATATTAAAATAAGATCCTAGGGTCCACTGTGGTGTTTTCTATCACGGTCAATAACGGTGCAGAGAATTCAAGTGTGTGAGGCAAGCTTTGGGTGATTCAAAAGGAAAGACGGACTGAACATTTTGGCAACTGTCATTTCAAGTGGTGGCAGAGGCTCTGTACTAATCTGGAACACTGTAGCCAAAACCATTGCCTACAAACAGGACTGAGGCTAACTTATAATTAAAATCTGCTCAAGGAAACTGAAAACATTTTCTATCACTAAAATAGGAATATACAGACACCCAAAAACCATGAAGGTGGGAGGTGGGGAAGACAGGAGTGGTAGTGTAGGCAAAGAATTGTGTTTAATACAATGCCAAAATGTGTTAATTTGCTATTACATTACAAGCATTTTCCTGGGCAGACTTTTAAAATAGCCCAAATTCAGCAAAAATTGTAATTTTTAGATAAATGAGGGGTAATTCCTTAAGTCTCTTCCTTTCCTTTCTCCCAATGCCATTTCCTGGAACCGTCTTAATAAGGCAGCTCTGTTTATCTAACAGTAACACCACACTGCCATGGAGGCAGTAGTTACAAACTTGTTTCAACAACAATCTTTACTCCACACGATCTGAATGTGAACACCAGGGAGACTCTACTATTCCAAGACCTCAGAGAGCCATCAGATTCCCATGTCATTCCCCCACTCCACCATCAACCCCCAAAGCCAGGCAAGAACTGTTTTAAACTGGGGATAGTTTACTGCATCTTGAAGTGTTACTACCGGTAGGAGATATTGGTTTGTGGCTGGTCTGGCAGTATGACTTTTTGTGGGATTTGATATCCCAAAGTTATCAAGTTTTAACTAGTGCTTGAACATGAACTTTTTTGGTATTTGTTAAGAAAAAGAGGATGCCATGAAAACTCAGTGGTCTTCATGGAAGACCCTCCAAAAGTTGGCCTCTTCCTTGCCCCTCCTCTCTTGTTTGAGCTGGATATTGTCTTTTTTTTTTTTAACTCTAGCCTCATTATCTTCTTTCTTAATCAAATACTTCTCCTTACCCCTTCTAAACCAAGTTCCCCATCCTTCAGATTTAAAGATAGATTTCCCTGATATTTCGGAAACGTTTGATCCACTCACATCTCCTTTTGTTTGGCTAAATTGCATTGAGAATCAAACCTTAATCCGACTCGTGAGTCGCTCACAAGGGCTCTCCCCCACTGCTTCATTGTGAGATGGTGCCTACGCTCAGCTCTTACAGCCAGCAGGGAGCCTACACTCTGGCAGGTCCACAAGCCAGAACAGCTCCTGCCCGAAGGTCTGATGAGGATGCTTCCTTTGGGGGAGGGTCATCAGCACACTGACCATGGCTGGGCAATTTTCCAGCCATAGCAACTCCTCCAAACCGTTTACTAACAACTTCGGGTTGGAGAACCTGAACCAATGAAATCTCACATCATCAAAGGGCCCAAGAATATAAGTTTTCTGATTTTGAAAACTGGAGAATTTTTTTCTTTTTGGTCCAGACCTACAATTTAATTAGTGTGGACAACTTCCTTCAGAGAAACTCCCTCCAAGTAGATTAAATATCATCTGTTAACATATAGTATTGAGAGACTCATGTGGGCAAACTACACTCTGACAGGTGATTTACCTGATGCCACAACACAGCCAGAATGTGTGGGAGGCAGGATTCGAACCCAAGCCTTTCTGACTCCCAGTGCAGCTGCCAATCTATTCTGGCCTCGTCTTTGTTTCACTGGTCACTTGAGGGCATCTGTATATACCGTCTGGCATAATGAAAATTGGGACAGCAAATGACAACGTCAATCAATCAGCCCTTTAGGGTCACAAATAAACGACCAGGGGAAATTGCTTTTTATTAATCACAACATGAAATATCACATGAAGATGCATATCAGAACCAGCTGGGATAAACAGTACTTCTACAATTGACATTTCTTCTCTAACTTTAAATCTGGAGGGAAAGGGCTCCTTTACAAGGTATTCTCAATCGGAGGGATGGCATGCCAAGCGCTCAGAAGCAGCACAAAGCTTTCTGCAGTCAGAGGTGATGACCACATTTTGATTTTGCACCTTGATGACAGATAAGGTTATTAAGGGCCACTGTCAGAGCCATGGAATCACAAGCTACATCCTAATGACAACATCAACACCTGGTTAGTCAAGCCCTGGGAGTGATTTTAGTTCTTAGTTTTCTTCTTTACTAGATGCTAACACAGACTTTTGGCCTTCTTGTATGCAAGACCAGCTACACTTTGGTCACCTAAGTGTTTGCTCCCATCACCATAAAGAGAACGCTTGCTGTAGAAAGGTTCTAAAGTCATAGCAAGTTTGTGAGGAATGGTTTTAGAATAGTGAAGTTTTAGAATGACTCTTCCAAATTAGCTTTTCACTTGGTAAAGAGCCAGCTACAGCAGGCTGACAAATGTCTTCCTTTTCTCAGTAATTTTACCCACTGTGCTTAGCAGATGCCATCCCACAGGAGAGCAAATACTTTAGTGATGCAGCCTCTCAACAACTCCTGTATCTTCATAATTTTTTAAAATAGGCCTTCATTTTACTGAATTAAAACTCCCTTCCCCTCTCCTTTAGGGACCCCTGGGGAAGGCGATCTGAACATGTAATTTTCTTTAGATATACGATTTTATCAGTAGGATAAACCCAGAAAAGAAGAGCAGAGGTACAATTCTGAGAAGCAGTTTTGATCTCTCTTCAAAAAACAAGAAAACCTCTTCTTCTAAGTTGATGAAGGCAAGAACAGTTCATTGAAAGAAGTGATGAGATTGAAATAGGATTTTTCATCGTCCTGTTAATCCCGCATTGCCGGGTCTCACTACCACTGCCACATGGACGTCCGCCTCTTCTGCCGCATTGGCCTCTGGGGAAACAAAAATGGGACCAGACCTTCCTTAGAACAGACGAGCGGACAATCGGAATCAGCTGTGCCTGAGCAACATCACCATTTAGATGAGGTTATTTAGCACTGTTAGGCGACTGTACAAAAGGGAAAAGGGGCCCTCTATCATCCCGACGAAGAAAACCAGATGATTCCACCCTTCTTCCGGCTCATCCCACATACAAAAACGAGGACAGGACATCTTGAATGGATCTCACAAACGCTCAGGGGAACCTTGGCTTTGCAATTTGGTACCAAACCTTATTCTTCTGCTACCTCTTCAAACAGGTCACATTCTCCCACAAATAAATGGGCTTCACAGATCTCAAATCACCCACTGGTCTCTCCACCCCTCCCCCAACCAAAAATCAACTCTTCCTGGCCAGTAAGGGCCAGGCGCGTGCATTCTCAGGCCTGGCACTATAAAGCTGGATCTGCTGCAAAACTCATCACTTGTGACTTCTTCCCCCCAAGCTCCTAGCTTGGTACAACCACGGCAAACTTGAAAAGCATCTGGGCAGTTTGGTGAAGTGAAGAAAGCCTTGGATTGGGGTGGAGATCACAATGACCCCCCCCCCAAGCGCTGAGGAAGTAAAGAGTGAAACAGGCAACAAAGGCGTCAGTCACTATGGATCCATGAAATTCCGGACACCTGGGCAGGATTTTCCTTGTGTAAGACATAAAACCTTGGAACTTGATCTCAACAGCTTCCAAGAGAATACAGCATTAAAACACTCGAACCATTGTACTCGCACAAAGAGCTGTCTTAGATGCTTATCTGCGATCTAGGGATCCTATTGTTTTTCAACAACATCTAAAACCCGCGGGCTTTGAAATTTCACCTGAAGTATGTGTAAGACTTAAAAGAAAAAAGAAGGCCAGGAAAGAGAAATGTTCATGGGAATAAGTCATTCAATGAGCATTTAACACATTTTCAATTCAATAGATATTAAACATACAGAATGCTGCTAAGTGGTGGATAAACAAAGATGGACTATACGGCCCATGTGGCTAAAAGGGTATTACAATGTAAGGAGGGAAAGAAATATAAGATAGAAAGTGATACGGACAAAGCAGCTGCTCGCAGCTCATGGGAAAAGTCAGAGAGGGTTTGGGCTCCAATGAGCCAATGGCCTGATGATCTCCCCTTTCTCTCTCTCATTTGGAGGAGAGGCATTTCAAGAGCACAGGACGTGACTGAGGTATTTGACAAATACTTATTGATTTAAACTGTTATTTGCCCCACTTGTCCATCTGCATTGTGTTCTAAGTGAAGAAGAGGGTCCAGATGCTGACAGCAGACAGAGCCAGCCCTGCTCTAGAGCACTCCAAAGAAGCTAGGTACCTGAAGCTTGGGAAGAGTGGCCATTTACTCTATTGTTGTTGTTTTTTAAATCCACGTCTGACTTCGATCTAAAAAGGCCTCAGGAACTGACAGAATTAGAGCTGAAGTGCCCTTAGGAGTCGGCCAGTCCACGGGTAAATGACTTGACCTTCACATTTTTGTGCAAGTAAAATAATGCAAGGCAACACCGGCTGCCCAGTCTGGGAGAAGCCCCTTCCTTCTCTTAAGAAAACTGAGAAAGTTAAGGGCCTTGAAATTCCCATTCCCTGAACTAACCACTTCAATTCCCCTAATCCAACATGTAATTAAAGACAAATCGAGATTTTTCCCAGTCCAAGCACACGGAACATTCAGGAACAAAGGTAAATGGCAGCTACCTATCAGTAAAAGAAATTAAGCAAATTCAAAGTGCAATGGACAACTCGATGCTGGAGGTGGAGCCAAGACGGCAGTGGGAACTCTAGAAAATCACTAGATGGAATCCTGATGGACAAGTCCAAGGATTCCCCCCCCCACTTCAGGTGGGAATGGGGAGACAGACAGAGGTGTGGGGAGCCTCCGGGCAGCCCACCACAGGGTGAGGCTGTGCAGCAGGGCCAAGTGGCAGCCGAGACTCACCGTCCAGTTCAAGGGCAGAGGCCCGGGACATACTGAGGAAAGGGCCTGCACCCAGAGGCGGCATCTCGGGGCAAAGGGCTCCATACTGATCTAGAAGCAATCAGCAGTAAAACAGCTTGGAACCCAGGACTAGAATGGGGTCTCAAAGTCCAGCTTTCAGCCCAGTCTGAAGCTAGTCGGGGAATAACCAGGGCAGGAATCCCAGATGAAAGGGGAGCCTGCAGTTCTGCCGCCCCAGGCCAGCAGAGCTCCCCCGCTGGCTGACTGAAACCCAGGTCAGGATCTTGCAGAGCTCGGTATAGGGAACAGCAATCTAAGTCTGCGGGTCCCTGGCGTGACCCCGAGAACAACACAGTACTCAATACCCCAAGAAAGCAGCACCAGAACTAGTCCGGACCTTCCCCCAGAAATGTGCAAAGCCCAGTTCTCACATCCAATCCAGTCAGGAAGGAGGCTGGAGGAGCAAGCCAACCAAATAAGCAAGCCATGGGAGCAAACCAGGAAAGCACCAGGGTGATGGAGATGCTCAAGACAGGAGGCCAGAAGACAAGAACGACTCCAAAACACCCACCAGATGACAAACACAGCTTGGAAACAAGACGCCCATTGTCACCAATATTATTCAATACCGTCCTAGAAATCCTAGCAACAGCAGTGAGAGAAGAAAAAGAAACTGAAAGAATCAGAACAGGAAATGAGGAAATAAAACAATCTCTTTTTGAAGATGATACGATGATATGCTTAGAAAATTCTAGAGATTCAACTACAAACCTAGTTGAAATAATAATTTTAGCAAAGTAATAGGACATAAAATAAATCTACATAAACCATCAGCATTTCTATGTATCACTAACAAAACCATGCAAGAAGAGAATAAGAGATACCCCATTTAAAATAACCAGAGACAGCTAAAATACTTGGATGTATACCTGCCAAGACAGACCCAGAAACTTCATAAACATAATTATAAAACACTTTAGAAATATTAATTGTTCATGGGTAGGCAAAGCCAACAAAAATGACAATTCTACATAATCTAACTTATTCAATGCCATCTCAATTAAATCATCAAAAAATTATTTTATTGAGCTAGAAAAAATAATAAAATTCACTTGGAAGAACAAAAGGTCAAGAATATGAAAGGAATTAACCAAAAAAAAAAGTGAAGGAAGGAGGTTTAGCAGTACCAAATCCTAACTGTATTATAAGGTGGTAATTATCAAAACTATCTGGTAGTAAGAAATAGAAAGGTGGATCAGTGGAACAAAGCAGACATATAACACACAGCAGTAAATGACTACAGTAATCCTGTGTTTGACAAATGTAAAGATTTAAGCTTATGGAATGAGAATTCACCATTAGGTAAAAAAAATTATTGGGAAAACTGGAAAGCAGTCTGGTAGATACTAAGTATTAACCAATATCTGACACCATTTAACAATAATATAAGGTCAAAATGAATATATGACCTAGACATAAAGGGTGATATTATAAATTACAAGAACATGGAACATATTACCTATCACACTTATGGATAGAAGAATTTATGAATAAACAAGAAACAGAATTATAAGATGCCAAAATGGATAATTTTGAGTCCATTAAATTAAAAAGTTTTTGAACAAATAAAGCCAATATAGCCAAGATTAGAAAGAAAACAGATTATTTGGAAAATTTTTAATACAGTTTTTCAGATAAAGGTCTCATATCTCAAACTTATAAAGAATTTTGTCAAATCTAAAAGAATAGATAACTCAATAAATGGTCAAAAGATATGAACAGGAAATTTTTGGATGAAGAAATTGAACCATATATAGTTATATGAAAAAAATGATCTAAATTATTATTGATTAGAGAAATGCAAATGAAAACAACTTTGAGATACCATCTAACACCTATCAGATTGGCTAAAATGATAGAAGGGGAAAATGATAAATGTTGGACGGTATGTAGAAAAATTGAAACACCGATATGCTGTTTGTGCAACTGTGAACTGATCCAACCATTTTAGACAGCAATCTGGAATTGCGCCCAGAGTTATAAAACTGTGTATGCCATCTGACCAGCCCAGCAATACCACTGCTAGGTCTGTTTCCCAAGGTCGTCAGGGAAAAAGGAAAAGAACCTGTATATTCTAAAACATTCACAGCAGCTCTCCTCGTGGTGCCAAAGGCTGAAAACTAAGGGGATGCCCATCCTTTGAGGAATGGCTGAACAAGCTGTGGTATATGAATGTAATGGAATACTATTGTGCTATAAGAAATGATGACCAGGCTGACTTCAGAAAAACCTGGAAAGACTTGTATGGTCTGACGCTGAGTGGGATGAGCAGAACCAGGGAACACTGTACCTAGTAACAGTCACGTTGTGCAATGACTAACTTTGACAGACTTAGCCCTTCTCAGCAATGCAAGGATCTAAGACATCTCCAAAAATCTCATGATGGAAAATGCTATCCACATCCAGAAAAATAACTATGGAGTTTGAATGTAGATCGAAGCACAGTATTTGCTATTTTTTTTCTTCTGTTGTGTTTCGTTTCCTCTTTCTGGTGGTTCCTCTTATTGGTTCTAATTCTTACTTACAACATCACTAACGTAGAAATGTATGTGTATAGCCTATAGCAGATTGCACACCGTTTTGGAGAGGGAGGTGGGGAAGGAGGGGGAGAAAAATTGAAAACTCAAAAGCTTATGGAAGTGATTGCTGATAATTCAAAATAAATTAACTTTAAAAAATGGTGACAGTACTGGCCCTTCCTCTCTTGCAGGCTCATGAGGAAAATGTTTTGTAAAACATGAAATAAATGTGAATTGTTATTAAATCTGAAAAAAAAAAAGAGTAATTGTGAATGACTATGTTATTCTAAGTATTATAAACACTCAAATCAACTACAAAGGACCCATGAAGGAAGATGCTATCCACCTCTCTAGAAAAAGAACTAAAAAGTAGAAGTATGGTAAATATGGTTTTAAAACACACACACACACACACACACACACACACACACACACACACACACACACACAAATTATGTATGTAAATGAGATGGAATACTACTGTGAGTAAGAAATTATATGAAGGGGATGGCTTTGGAGAAACTTGGGAAGATTCGCATGAACTGATGAAGAGTGAACAGAACTAGGGAAACAATACTGTAAAGACAAACAACTCTGAAAGAATAAAAAACTCTGATCATTGGAATGAACAACTATGATTCCAGAGTACTAATGATGAAAATGCTACTTGCCTCTTTTTTTTTTTTTTTGCTTTTTGGTAAGGCAATTGGGTTAAGTGACTTGTCCAGGGTCACAAAGCTAGTAAATGTCAAGTGTCTGAGGCCAGATTTGAACTCAGGTGCTCCTGACTCTGAGGCTGGAGCTCTATCCACTGCACCACCTAGCTGCCTGCTACTTGCCTTTTAACAGAGATGAAGGTCACAGTATACAGAAAGAGACTTTTTTTTTTGGATGTGGCCAGTGCAGAAATTTGTTTTGCTTATAAATGTTCCTAGCAGGTGTTTTTATTTTACTTCCGTACTCAAGTAGGGAGGAGGGGGAGGAGGAGTCTTGCTAATGGAAAATAATTTAATTTTAGAAAAACAAATGTTAACTAACAGGTTCACGTGATTGGCTAAAAAAAAAGATGCTTTTAAAAGCACCAAGTTTCCCCAAGTCACCAAACAATGAGCTTCAAGGCTCTGCGCCACCCAAACCTCCACACCAGATAATCTATTCTAGCAGTAGAAAGAGAATTCTTTACCTGCACCTCAAACCCGCTTAATCTGCTTCTCTACTTATTGCCCTGCTTTCTTTCTATGCTGACCACACTTTCGAATGTACAAAGTTTAAAAATAAGACACATATTTGACCCATTTTGTGTTGAAGAAAGAAATCCATTGTTCTGCACAGACTTGCAAAACCGGCTGGCTTTCTCAAAACGCCAAATTTCCCGTGTCTTTTCAGTTCTGGGATGGGAGCATTTCTCCCACCTCAGACTGGAGTCTCCCAAGGACCCCCCAGGTAGGCATCTGGGTGGATGTCCCTATATTGCTTGGGAAACTGCACTGTGTGATCTCTTCTGCCTCAGTTTCCCAGGCTGTGCACTCTAGGAAGCTCAATGTTTCCTTCGAGCCTCCTCTTTCCTCCTCACTTTTAACTTCACTCAAGCCCTTTTGTTTCCTGACCCATCTTTTCTCCCTCATGTATAAATATTTGGGATCCACTGCTCTGAAAAGGTGTGAATCCCCCCAGATGCTCCTCTGTAAGAAATGAACTTGACCGGCTTCCCTGCTAACCAGAAAAAGGCCTTCTTTGCACCAAGCCGTCAAAGGGGTGAAAAGAAAGTCAAGGGGAAGCAACATGCTCATGCCCTCCCAGGGCACAGCCTCTGGGCCTCGAAGGTGACTCATGCTGCAACATGAGAGGAGAGGAACTGATCAAGACTGAAAATTACAACCGAATTGGTGAATTAATTTAGTGTAGCCCAGTGCAAAATTCTGGCACTAACTCCTACACAACTGAGTTTTAGTTGCCTCTCCAGACACAGAAACCCCACCTAGTTTACTTTCTGCTTTGGCCAAATACTTCTAGGTAAAATGAACCTGAAGGTATTAGATAGCACAAGATGGGAATTTTTTTAAAAAGTGGGTGGTGGCCCAAATATCCATGACACCTAAGGATGTTAGCCACAGCAAGGCATCAGAAAAACTCTGGATGCTTCAAAGAGTTCCCAATAGGAAAAGTACTCAGAATTTTTTTTAAAAAATGAATGTTAAAAATTGTCTTTACTTGTAATCAGGGAAAAAATAAAATATTTACTTCAAAAAACTGTACCCGTCTGATCCCGTTTTACCAAAATCAAAGCTAGAAGACTCACTTTAGGGCACCAAAGTTTAGGGTTATCCCAAGATAAGAACCAGGGACTGCCTCCCACTCCCGTGCTCTTTCCACTAATGATTCCAAGAGTCAATGAATTTAGTTCAGATTCTTTCTAAACTTTCACTGAAGACTCCTGGCAGCTTCCCACCCACTCCTCCTATATCATATTTTTAAAAAGTCCTTTTATTTTCCTTAGATTTGCTAACCCTGGAAAGACGGCTGGGAGTTGCAATCAAGAATAAAAACATCAGCATTCCACACCCCTACAAAATGGGAAACTAACCTAGGCTTTAAAATTCCTTTGGACATATTTGCATTAATTTCCTAAGACCAGGTGAAAGAGCTCCTCAAGTGCATGGAGTTCATGCTGTCCATCACAGGCCACAATGTCTGCTGCCCAGAATCTAGAAAGGACAAGAGTCACCTACCTCGGGTAACATCTGTCAGAAACAGGATGTTGTTGGGAGAGCAGCCAATGCTTGTGGCAATTCTCCTATAACTTTCACTCTCTATTTTATGTCCAATCTTCGTATCAAAATGGCCGTCAAAAAGCTGGATAGAGGAAAGAGAAATGAGGAAACATTAAAAAACCAAATGGAACGGGTGAAAAGTGGATTCTCAATCATATGATAGTGAGATGGAGCAGATGAAACCACATCCCTATTTCCCCAGTCTTCCCCAGTCACAAAACGTTACCTATGGAATGAAATTTATGTAACTATCCATATTCACTACTGGCATGAGGTAACAAAGTGGCTACATCCTCTTTTAGGAATTCTTTTTGGGCCTGAGGCCAAGTTACATTTTTCTTTGAGGCTTTGGACACAGCGGCTTTGACTTTTTTGTCTTCTGGGTTTGTTCTGATCTTCCCTGTTACCACAGCAGCTTTCTATGGTCAGGTTATTTTTCTGTTGCTGTTTGCTCATTTTTCAGGCCTACTGCTTGACTTTTAACTTTATGTCAGAGTTGGGCCTTGCTCCTGAGGTGGGGGGAGAGCTCTGCCCCAAGCTTCAGGTTTTTTGTGCACCTAGTTCTGGAGGGTGTGCAAGCTTGCAATTCTTCTAAGATAGTACGACCTAAAGAGAAGCGTGGCAATTACTCTTCTGTGCTGTGCTCTGCTCTGTGAGCAACCACAAGCGTTCTTTTCTGCCCTGGACCTGTGACCGGAGTCCCCACTTCCCTGGCGGCTTTAGCGTGACTGCAACCTGAAACAATGCAACAGAGTCTGAACGCAGTGCCAGCAAAGGGGCCCCTGCGAGCTCCTTGTGACCAGCTGTCCAATCCCCTCACCGTCTGTGCGCCGAGGGCTCCAGAAGCCACCGCTGCTGATTCAGCTGTCCTCCCCCCCCCAGCTTCCTGTTGGCTTCGCCTGCACTGTACTGTGCTCTACTCTCACCCCAGGGAGACTGACCTTTTCTGCTGATCTCCTAAGTTGCCATGGGCTGCAAAACTGTTTCCCTCTGTCTTTTCTGTTCTACTGCTCTAGAATTCATTTTGAGGTGTCATTCTAAATTTGAGTGGAGGAGAATCTGAGAGAACTCAGGCCAGTCCCTGCTTTTACTCAATCATCTTGGCTCCAGGCACCACCCCCCAACATTATCTTAAAGATGAGTACACAGAGACCCAGAGAAAGCTGCTATCTTGTGCAGGGGACACAGCTAGCCAAATCTTTCTGACCTGACTGCTCTGTCCACTACATACCAGGTAGTTATTATACGCTGGCTTAATGGCTGATCTGCTGTGATCTTCCCTGCATAATTTTCCACTGTGTTACAGTGAAATGCAGACTGCATCTACAACGTTGGTACCACACAAACCCATTCTTCCTCCTCCCACTATGCATTTCAAGCATATCCGGCTCTCCACTCTTCTTCCCCGAACCTCCAGAGAGGGTATGAAGGCAGCTCTCCACATTCCAGTTTGTTTGTAGTGCTGACTTATACCTGCAATCACCCGCAGCTCGATGTTCAAGAAGAAAAGCAGGTAGACAGCTCACCTCGAGGATGTCTCCTTCTGTCGAATAGCCAAAGAGCAGCTTCTGTGCCTCAACACTCCCTGAAGAATAAATGTACACCTTCATGCCCGCCTGTCTCCACTTCCTGATGGCTGGAACTACATCCTCAAAGAACCTGGAAAACAGAGGCAGCTGAGAACCTCTCCGCTGGTCTTACCTCTCGATCAGAACGAGGTGTGAGAAACTCTTGGAGACAAAGAGCAGGGCAGCCCTTCCAGCCACGACCTGCCCAGGGTTAGTCTGCGTGTGTCACAAGTGGGGTCTCAGTCTCTCCCCCTCTCCCCGCCATGAGGCGGCTGCTGACTCTCTTACCTGTCTCCACTTACCGGACCCCCCCCTCAACTAAAATGGAGAGAATAAGGCTGATGCCCTTTACTTGGAGGAGAGCCCCTTTGCCCCTCACGTGAGGCACATTTACTCTTTACCCAACTCTGGTAACTGTGCTGTCCAAGTTGACAGTAGATTAGAATCAGGCAATTAAGAGGGGAAAGTGCCCACTGCAGCCCGCGGATGGACAACAAGAAGAACAGGCCAGAACAGGCCTTGCGTTCATGCCATACGAGGACCGTGTAAAGGAGACAAAAGAGCGCCATTCACATTCAAGCATCTGAGGGGCTTGGGGAAGAGGGATAAGGCTGGCTCCATCCGGAACCAAAGCTAGAACCCTGACCCGCCAAGAGGCAAGCTTAGGCCGCCTTGGTCAACACGTCTGCTGCATGCTGACCTCTCAGTCCTCTTTCACCCACTGTCTTTGATAAATGCGAATCATTTTCTCTATGTTCCTCGTATGTGCTATTTTGAATTGCATTATAACATTCCACTACACTGACAAGTTTACTGAGACATTCTACAAATGATGGACATTTAGGCTGTTAATAGTTTGGGGTCATTACAAATTATGTGGCTACTGAAAAGAAAGTGGTTTTTTTTCCCCCTTTCAGTTAACAAAGTGCATATTTACAATAATCAGATTAATGGGTGAAAAGTTGTGATTATTTTTGAAAGTCACATAGTATATTACAGTAAACTGCAAGATAGGGACAGTTGCTTTTCTAAATTTTTAAATCTTTTAAGACTTAGCAAAATGTTCTACAGACACTTAAAAATGTTTGTCAATGAATATGCCAGACTCTTCTGCAAAATAAATTCATAAATTTTGCTTCAACAGAAACATAATGCGAGTTTCTCCACAACCTCATGACCCCAATATGGTGGGTGTGAGGCCAAAGTTATTTTAATTTTGCATTTCTTTGACTTGGAAACGTGGAAGTTATTATTTGTAATCTATCTTTTATTTATCTATTCATTTATTCTTTGACCATTTACACAGTATAAAAAGAGAAATTCCATTTAAAATAATTACAGAACACATGAAACATTGGAACCATGACTACAACTATAACACCACTTTACACAAATAAAGATCTAAATAAGTTGGGGAAGATTAACTGCTGGTGGGTAGGCTGAGCCAGCATCATAAAAATGACAGTGCTACCCAAACTGATTTATTTGGTGCCACATCAAACCATCAAAGGGTTCAATCGTTGAGCTAAAGACAGTCACAACAAAATTCATCTGGAGAAACAAAAGGTTGAAAATTTCAAGGGAAAAAAATGTAAAAAAAAGCACCAAAACTCAAACTCTACTACAAAGCAGTAATCATCGAAACACTGTGGCGCTCGTTATAAAATAGAGGTTGATCAACAGAACAGATGAGGCACACAATTTTGCTGTTCAGTCATTTCAGCCATGCCTGACTCTCTGGGACCCTATCTGGGGATTTCTTGGTAAAGATACTGGGGTGGTATGCCATTTCCTTCTCCAGCTCATTTTACAGATGTGGGAACTGAGGCAAACAGGGTGAAGTGACTTGTCCAGGGTCACACAGTTAGTATCTAAGGCCAGATTTGAACCCAGGAAGATGAGTCTTCCTGATTCCAAGACAAGTACTCTATTCACTATGCGCCCTAGCTGCCTCAGGTGTACAATATACAGAAGCCAATTAACCTAGTAGTCTGGTGTTCAAAAGAACCTCAGACCCCAACTACTGGGGTAAAACTATGTGACAGAAATTAAGTATAGCCAATATCGCACCCTCTATGGTGAGATCAGTGTCAAATGGATACCTGGCCTCAACATGGGAGGTTACGTCATAAACAAATTAGAGGAAAAAGGATGGAGTTTTCCTTCTGGATTTATAGAGACTTCATGACCAAACAATGGACGATAAAATGAGCAATTTTGATTCCGTAAAATTAACAAGTTTTTGCACAAACAAAACCACTACAGCTGAAGTTAGTTACTTGGGGGGGGGAACCCTCTGTAGCAATCATCAAGAACTTATATACAACACACATAAGAAACTAATCCAAACTTATAAGAATAACAGCCATTCTCCCACGGATACATGATCAAAGAATATGAACATGAATTTTTCAAAGGAAGAAATCCAAGCTACCGACAGCCATACAAAAAAACAATCCAAAATCATTCATAACATGAGGAATATCTCTGAGGCTACTATGCTTCATACCCATCAAGATAGGCAAAGATGTCAAAAAAGGACGATGACAAGAGTCTACAAGAAAACAGATTCATTAATGCACTGTTGAAAGAGCCGGGAACTGTCTAGCTATTCTGGAATAAAATTTGGAACTCTGTCCTTGAAGACACTAATGTACATAATCTCTGACCCAGCTATATCATCACTAGGCCTATACCCTAAAGAGATCAAAGAAAGAGGTCAACATCCTACATTGAAAAACACACACACACAGACACACACACAGACACAGAACAGGAAACTAAGGGGGTACTCATCAACTGGGGCATGTCTGAACAATATCTACTACCTAACACTATGACACCATGCAAAATGATGGAATGGAAGGTTTCTGAGAAACCTGGGAAGATCTGTATGAAATGATTCTGTGTGAAGTCAGAAGAACCAGGAGAATGATTTATACAACAACCACAAAAGCGTAAAGACACCAGTTCTTCTATGCCGGTCATTTCCTCCCATTTTACAGGACAGGCTCAGGATCAGGTGAAGAATGAACTGGGGAACATTTGGACTAGAGAAAAAGAAACTGGGGGAGAAGGGGGAACGGGACAGGACATCACAACCATCTCCAAAAATCCTACCAGATGAGGTTTGTTCTATTTGTCTTCAGCAGGCAGAACTAGGAGCCACAGACAGAAACGGTAGGGTCAAATTTAACCTGAAATCATTACAGCTACTGAAAAGCAGAAGAGGATGCCCTTGAAGGGTTTGAGTCCCCTCCCTCAAGCCTCTCAACACAAGGTTCTATGGTACAGACAAGATCGTGGCTTAGGTGCAGGCAGGCTGGCTTAAATGGCCTCGGGCGTCCATTCCAACGCTGAGATCCCACAACTAGGTAAGATCAGAAGAATACTGGTTAATCTCAGAAGGTTTTGCAGCCTTGTGTTATCCCGAAGCCTGAACAACCCAAACAGTTCCTATCCTGATCATGTGGTATTATTTAAGCACTCAACACAATAAACATTCTTTCCCTCCCACTTCCAAAATTTGCATTTCCAGCTGGAGTGAAAAAATACATTACTGTCTCTACAAAGACAACTAGAAGGACAGCTTCAGTATGACAAAGCATTCAAGTTAAGAAGGGGAAAACAACCTATAACACATGGCCAAGGAAGGGAGTTACAGTATGGGAAGTAACCAAGAGGGTGACTATAAAAACAGGACAGACCACTGTCATAGCCAGTGGCAGGTGGAAAAGATCCAGGACACACTGATACGCATGCACGGTCAGGATGAGGGACCCCATGGGTGCCTTCCAGGCATGGTCTCTGGTGGTCCGGTTTGGAGGGTGCAGGGGCAGCAGCAGAAAGAGGGAAGATGGCCAGGGTGGAGATCAGTAGCTCTCCTCCTCTCAGGAATGGTCCCTGGTCATGCCCATATATAATAAGATATATCTCCTGCTGAAATCATCACAAGAGGTGGGACGGGAGAGGGGAAAAGACACTTCTAAGATCATCTCCTCTAAGTCTTCAGATTACAAATGAGGAAACCAGAGAGACAAAGAGAGAAGCCCGAGGTCATGGAATCAGGCATCAGCAGGGCTGGAACAAGCACACAGTCTCCTAAGGCTCAGTCCAGAACTCTTCAAGCCTTCAGAGATCCGATGTGCAGGCGTGACCACACCAGCCATTCCAAAACTCTGGACATCTGTCAAGAAGCCAGTTGGAGTACAGACAGCCAGGAAAACAACCCCAGATGACACCACACTGACTGCCCGGGCTCGCATTTGGCAGATGGCAGAGTTTTAAACAGCCTTAAGCCGCTTCTGGGTCCCCAAGCTTACTTTTAACAGAGTCGTTCACTGTGTGCTGCTCTACAGGTTTAAATCATGAAGCACCAAACAAGGCAGAATCAACATCACAGGCAACCCAACAGGCAACAGAAGACGGTACGATGGGAGGAGATGACCAATTAGTCCTGCCAAAGGTCACCGGCACCAGAACTGGCGTCAACGATGCGGCTCCCTGACGCTACAGAACCAGAGTAAAATGTGACTGGGAAGGGGCAGCTCGGTGGCACACTGGATACAGCACCGGCCCTAGAGTCAGGAGGACCTGAGTTCAAATCTGGCCTCTGACCAAACACTTGACACTTACTAGCTGCGTGACCCTGGGCAAGTCACTTAACGCCACTGCCTAAAACCAATCAAACAAACAAACAAAATATGACTGAGAAACACAGAACAACAAATAAAAATAGATCACAGACCACAAGTGGTCCTATGAGGTTTTCTAAGTCAATCAGAAGGCACACTGAGACCATTCTCTTTGGGTCTGACAGCATTAGTGCAGAAGATAGAGTGGAAGAGTTGGAAGATGCAGGGAAAAGAAGGAGCAGGTGTTTCACCGATTGGGGGTCAAGTCTTTCCCTGTGGTTTTTCTTTTTCTTTAGCTATGCAATCTAGGTTAAGTGACTTGCCCAGGGTCACACCGCTAGTAAGTGTCAAGTGTCTGAGGTCACATTTGAACTCAGGTCCTCCTGACTCCAAGGCCAGAGCTCTACCCACTGTGCCACCTGGCTGCCCCCCATGGTTTTTCTTTATAATGCCATAGGCCCACGGAATTCAAAGAGAAGGGGAGGTGACTGCCACCAGCAGCAGCGTCCCCATGGCCGCAGCATCGCAGCATGTAGGTGCTTCACCCTTTCTGAGTCTGCCCAGCTCCGGGGGTCCCAGCTGCCGCTGGTTCACAGCCCTCCAGGCAGCGCCCCACAACCTCTTCCACTCCCCCCCATCGTTCTAGGGTAAAGCTGCCAGGAAAAGGCTTCCAAGGCTGCTCAATAAGCAAGGAAATGACATCTGGAAAGTGCTTTGCCTACACTATCTCATTTGACTCTCACAACCACCTTGTTATTATTATTCTATTATAATTATCATGCCTATTTTACAGATAAAAAGGTGGGGGTTCAGGAGACCTTATGTAACCCAAGGTCACATAGCTATTAAAGCAGGATTCAAGCCCAGCTCTGTGCCTCTGAGAGAGGAGAAAACCCCAACCCTGGAGCTGGTTTCCAGTGTCAGTCTGAAAGTTTAAAGAGTTGCGCCCCCTTCCCACCCCACCACACCCCCTTTCTCCAGGCTCCCACCACGCAGGAGTCCAGCCCCCCGAGCCGTACAACACTAGCAGGACAGCCACACGTCCAGGCAGGGGTGCGGCCCTTAACAGGCCGTAACTCCTCATCCACAGATGCGAGGCCTCAGTAGGTATGCCTCTGGGGTCCGAGCTAAATGGAGACAGCTGCCAAAGCGACCTTCATCGCTTCACAGAGAGGGAGAAATCAAGCAACTGCTCCTTGTCTGGAATGACCTAGGCCACCCCGACTTCCCCACCCCCAGAAGACTTTAGAATAGAACTAATACGACTGGCCATGTCTGAGTTCTAGGCACTGACCTCGCTAAAATCCTAGAATCCAGATGCAGAAAGACAAGCCCAAAGACCCGGGGTTCCCTCAGAGCTGCGGTACAGCATGCCAGGGGAGGGAATCTAACTAACCCCTGCAATGCCTCAGAACCAGATCCTGAGCTCTGTAAAGGCAGGGGGTGGCGGTCCTGACCAAGCCAGAGACGGACAAGGCCTTGAGGACCATCGCAGTGACACACAAAGGGACTAAGGTGCTGCAGACTCTGGCAGCACGGGAGTAATTTAAAACAGCCTCCAGGGGGAGGAAAGGTGACTGGGGGGATAGGTGGGCGAGGGGATGGGAGACGAGGCCCCTTGGTGGGGTCACTTACTCAGCCTTCACCGTCCCCGCTGCGAAGGCAGCCCGCCATATGTGGCCCTGGAGCTGCTTCAAGGCTGGGGTCTTCCTGTCCAGAGACATCTGCCAGTAGACATTGTCCACCACGGCCTGGATCATCTGCTCCGTGTCATCGGCGCCGTGCTCAGATCTGGGGGGAATCAGCACGGCTCCATCCAAGTGCGAATCCTCTTCTGCCTTTGAGTCATGTTGAAAAATGATTTATTTTGTTAAACTCCTTTCAAAATGAAACCTGAAAACCAAAGCGGGCACTTTCTTCATATACTTTCAGTCTCACCATCCCAAATGTATACCTATCACTTTCTATTAAAATCAGAAGGCCATGGAAGCTGAGACTCTGAAATCATCCATGTCAACGCTCCGTTTTATAAATGGGGAAACTGAGGCCCAGAGAGGGCCGTGGCCTCTCTCAGGCGCAGACAGCAGCAGAACTGAGACCCTCCAATTCTCTCCAGAGGACTTTCTACTAGATTACCCTGCCCTCTAGAAGGACAGTGCGTGAGATACTCCAACTAGGAACGGAATGGTTATCCCTTATTTTCTCTACACACCTACTTTAGTAAAGGTACAAAATATAAAACCACAGAGGGAGCGAGAAGAATAAAGAGAGGAAAGAGGGAGAAAGAAGAAAGAAAGGAGGGAGAGACCAGGGGAAGAGGAGAGAGGGAAAACCAGGGTGGGCACCTACTATAATGGATAAAAAGTCACTGAGATGAAGGGGCACAGGCAGAAATAGAAGGAGCTGCCTCCATTTCCGGCACAGGGCACCCCGCTGGCTGGGGGAATGAGAGGACACACCCGCAGGTTTTCCCACCTGTTTTCTCAGCAGGCTCACATCCTCTCGACACTCTTCTTCATCCCAGTGAGCATGCAGATAGTCCTTCACATTCTCGCGAATGTAGGAAAACAACGTGTCCTGGACAAAAATAATCGTGGAGAGAAAAAGATGGATTTCAGGCCTAGAAATGAAGTCACATTTTTCTTCCACAATCTCAGTTTAGCACCGAGCCCATTTACCAAAAACGTGACTAAGGTTCCATTCACAGCAGGAATGAGGACCCCCTGAGGACAAATATCCAAAAAAGAGAAGGACTGTGATCAGAGGGGTTATTTCTTAGTAGTTAGGCTACATATTAAGCTCCCTATCAGAAAAATGAATATATTTTTAAAAATCCTAATATTACACCTATTAAAAGTAGGGATTATATTTGTAGACAGCTCAGTGGGGTCAGGAGGACCCCAGTTCAAATCCAGGCTTAGACATTTCCTAGCTGTGTGACACTGGGCAAGTCACTTAACTCTGTTTGCCTCAATTTCCTCATCTATAAAATGAGCAGCAGAAGAAAACTGCAACCCACTCCAGTATCTTTACCAAGAAAACCAGAAATGGAGTCATAAAGAGTCAGGAAGGACTGAAATGACTGAACAGCAACAAAGAAGATTCTGAGATCTCTCTGGATTACTAGGATTTTTTAATATGTCTAGAATTCTGTCTTGCCCTCACACTGGGTTTGGCAAGTTTTGTTTTACTTCTATAGCACAAAACTGCTGCAATACATGACATTTCCCCAGGATGTGGGAATTTAGATTTAACCCACTACTAACCACCCATTCAAATACTGGGCTCCCCAGGCCACGGAAGGAGTGCAATTCTCAAAAATGATTCTGGCAGAGCTGGAGAAACTGAAGAGGCTACGTTCATATATGGACCCAGCAATCGGTCTGCAGAGGCTCCTCACCAGTCAGCTGAATGCCCACCAGAGACTGTCCACCGGCCATGATGGGGAAGAAGCAGTCACACTAATGAAATCAGAGCTAAGCACGTCTTGGCTACTGGTCCAAGTGGTTGGATGGTAAGAAGCTGGAATATTTCTCTTTCACAAAGCTACAATTCAATGACCTTACACATAAGGGGCCTCACATAAATGGTCATTTATGCTACAGAGGAGAATACTGCATCTCAGAAAGAGCTCTGTTAGGGGCTGTGGCATGGTGGACAGAGTGCTGACCCCAGAGTCGGGGGGGACTGGTTAAAATCTGGCCTCATATACTAGCTGTGTGACCCAGGGCAAGCCATTTAACCCTGTGTGCCTCAGTGTCCTCATCTGTAAAACGAGCCATAGAAGGAAACGGCAAACCACTCCAGTGTCTCTGCCAAGAAAACCCCCAATGGGGTCATGGAGAGTCAGACTCAACTGAAAATGACCAAACTACAAGGACATCGAAGGATTTCTGGAGAGCAAACTAGGTAATGTTACCTCATGCAGGTTAAGAAGTCCAAGTAGAATTTGTTTTATGATCAAGTGATGCTTGAATGAAAAGCTTGCACACTTGATAAAAAAAAAAATAATGAAGTATATTTACATCTTCAGACGTGGCCAGGGTGTTGGTTCATTGTACTTAAACTCTACTTCTGTAATATATGACAGGGTTCTGCGAACGAGAAGTCCCTGGGAATGAAAGAAAGCCCACCAAGCAGGGGAAGCTAAAGACCTGGTCATCTGCATAACACAATATTTTTGATTTCCAGAACTGACCTAGGTGAAAGCTGATTTTTATCATTTATTTTCAATTACAAAACTAATTTGTCAAATGCTTCCTTTGTTCACATAATTATATTTTAGTGAAGAAGATACACAGAATTGCTTTCGGCCAAACTGACCGTGGGACCTTCCCCAAACCTCTTGGAAGGCTCAGTGTCTACAAACCTACTAGAGCAAAAAACTGAAATTCACACCCTATGGAGCAGTCACTAAGAAATGCAGTGAGAGGCCACATAGACTTCTCCCATCCCAGAGCTTTGTCCATCCAAAGTAGTGTCCAAAGCAACAACAGAAAGAGACCAGCAGCCTCCCCTCTTATCTTGAGACATGGGGAGCCTTCATGGCTCTGGGTTTAGAGGCAGCAAGAGGAAAGGACTCCCCACTGAAACTGCAGAGGTCAAGAGTGACCAGAGCCACATGGCAGTGCTCAGACCAGGACAGCCCAGGCCCAGGCGCTCCAATGTCCTGAGATGCCATACAGATGCCTGGAGGTCCAATGCCCAGAACTCCAAAGATGCGGGGGACCTACTCCCAGGAGTCAGCACAGGGATCCAAGGAAGACTGACCAGGGCAGGACAAAGGACAGAGCCTGGCCCTGGAGAAAAGACCCAATTCAGAAACAAAAACTGGAGACATAAGTGGGCACAGACCAGTATGAAAAATTAGTGTAAATCCAGAGATCCCCCGAAGGAAGGAGAGAATACCTCACTAAGAATGGACTGGGTTTTCAAAGGAAAAAAATGCATTTTCCACAAGGACATGGTTAACTAGGAGAAATAAGGACATTAAAAAAAAAAATGAAAGAAAGACTAGGAAGAGCTTCTGGCTTCTGGGAGCCAAGATTGCAGAGTAAAAAGGTAGTCGTTCTCACCCTCCCCTATCAACCTCTGCAAACCCAGAAAATATCACCCTAGAAAAAAAAACAAAACAAAACCCTGAACTAGAAGAAAGATGGGGAACAGTAGTGCAGCAGTCCAGCAAACAGGTCTCCCAGTGCCTCAGCAAAAACAAGGGAAGCAGCACTACAAAAGGCCCCAGGCAAATAAGCACACTGCAGCATTCATCTGAAAGGAGCTGAAGAAAGCAACCTAGAGTCTTCCTAAAGTACCAGCCTTGCTGATTCCAACCCAACCCCAGGTAAGCTGTCAGAACCCTACAGCCTCCAACTGTCAACCAGGAAGAGATCCTGAAGCCCAGGTAGTAGAGCAGGCAAACACCAACACCTGGACCTCAGAGTGCCTCAGTGAGGGGGGAATCGGTGGAAACCAGCTCAGAAAACCACCAAGTGCCTCAGCATTCTACCGCAAAGGAATCTCCCAGTGCATTAGCAGAAAAAGGGGCCCCAGGCAGATAAACACCCTACAGCACCCATCTAAAAGGAGCTGAAAAAAGCTAAAGGAAAAGAAAGACAGGCAACCTAGAATTGTCCGAAAGTTCCAGCCTTGCTGATTCCAGCCCAACACAAGGTAAGCTGCCAGAAACCTACAGCCTCCAATGAGAGGCCCCAGCACACAAAGCCAGTGACTAAGACCTAGGCTCCCAACACAAGAAGCTTGGGTCAGTGCCCTCTGTTCCCCAGCAGGAGAGCTCAATCTCTTTAAAGGCCAGGGAATAAAGAAACCATGAGTAAAAAGAAAATTCCCACAGATTCATATTATGAGAGAGTGAAGATCAAGACAGAAATTCTGAAGAGGACAACATTGTCAACAAACCCACATCTGCAACATCAAAAGGGAATATGAACTGGTCTGAAGCCCAAAAAGCCTTCTTAGAAGAGCTCAAGAAGGATTTTAAAAGTCTAATGAGAGAGGTAGAAGAGTCCGTAAAAAATACAATTGGCCAATTGAAGAAGGAAGTACAGAAACTAACAGAAGAAAACAATCTGTTAAAAACCAGAATTGGACAAAAGGAAACTAGTGTCTCTATGAGACAGCAAGAATCAGTCAAACAGAACAAAAAAATGAAAAAATAGATGAAAAATAAAATACCTCATTGGTAAAACAACCGACCTGGAAAATCGATCCAGGAGAGACAATTTAAAAATCATTGGACTACCTGAAAATCATGATAAAAAAGAGCCTGGACATCTTTCAGGAAATCATAAAGGAAAACTGCCCAGAAGTCCTAGAACCAGAAGGAAAATAACCATAGAAAGAATCCACCGTCACCACCTGAAAGAGATCCCAAATTGCAACGCCAAGAATATAATAGCAAAATTCCAAAATTACCAGATGAAAGAGAAGGTGCTGCAAGCAGCCAAAAAGAAAGAATTTAAATATCATGGAACCACAGTCAGGATTACACAGGACCTTGCAGCTTCTACATTAAAAGACCGCAGGGCATGGAACATGATATTCCATAAGGCAAAGGAGCTTGGAATGCAGCCAAGGATCAATTACCCAGCAAAAATGAGCATCATTTTTCAAGGGAGGAGGTGGATATTCAATGAAATAGGAGCCTTCCAAACCTTCCTCACATAAAGACCAGAGCTCAACAAAAAATTTGATCTTCAAGTACAAGATTCAAGAAAGACATAAAAAGGTAAACGGGACAGAAAGATACAAAATGCTGTTAATAAGGGCAGACTGTTTACATCCCTACAAGGGAAGATGGCACTTGCAACTCTTGAGAACTGTATTGTTATTACACCATGTTAAAGGAGTATACATAAAGGGGATGGATATTAGTTGACTGACATAATGATTAAAAAAAACTAATCAAGTGGGTTAAATGGATCTAAGTAAGTGGATTAGTCTGATCTCAGAAAATGTACTGAGAAAGGAGGAGGCAGACAAGGGTAAATTATATTACAGGAAAAGACAGAAAATCCTATTAAAGCAGAGGGAAAGAAGGGAGGAGGGTGAGCATTGTTTGAACCTTACTCTCATCAGCTTTGGCTCCAGAAGGGAATAACATAATCAGTTAGATATAGAAATCTAACTTGCCTATAGGCAGTAGGAGGGAAAAGGGGAAAGAAAAGGGAGGAGGGATAGAAGGAAGGGAAGAAGCAGTAAAGGCAAAGGGGAAGAAAAGGAAAAGGGATAATAGAAGGGAGGAGAGACTGAAGAAAGTGGTGGTCAAAAGCAAAGTACTAGTGGGGGGGGAAGGAGAAAGGAGAAAGAAAAGCATAAAGGCGGGGGGGGGAGAAAAGGATGGAGAAAAAGACACAGTAATCATAACTGTGAATTCGAATGGGATGAATTCTCCCATAAAAAGGAAGTGGATAGCAGAATGGATTAAAAGCCATAATCCTATCTAAGACATCTCCAGAAGCGTAGCGATGGAAAACGCTATCCACATCCAAAGAAAGAACTATGGAAGTTGAATTGCTATTTTTTTTTTCTCTTCCGTTCAGTTTTGTTTCCTCGTTCTG